TAAATCCAATATAAACTGTGCAACTACACCATTCAGATCTAACTTTAACAATATAGAACAATATAGAACAATATAGAACTAACTGAACGTATACTTAATGATCCAGTTCCAAACTTACATATAGTAGGCATCTATAGGTCAAAAAGCAAAGCTAACCAACAAACTTAATTGAAACTATAAATCATCTCCTTGATACAATCACTCCAGATGAAGATACATCTACTGTGATACTAGGTGACTTCAATGTTAATTTATTGGAAGTTTCCTCAGAACAAAAGGCATTAACAAAATGCTTGTTACCACAAAGAACCTAAAAGCAACTGATATGTCAGTTTACTACAGACTATCATACACAAACTGACCATATCTATACCAATATACCAAATCATGTACTACCTGCCAGTGTTCTAGAGTCCTATTATAGTGATAAGCCAATATTTGTTTGCTTAGTATAAAATCAGTATTTTTTATAATATGAAGATGAAAGTATCCATATTTAAACAATGTAAAACCAACATCACATATTATTTGCATCTCATTATAGTATTGCTTACTCCAGGGTTGCCACCCACCAGGACAAAAAAAAAACCCTGACTTTTCACTGAGTGTAAAGCAATTTTCAGTAGCCCTGCAGAATAACTATTCTGGCCATGAATCAACAAAAATAAGGATGGCTCTGATAATTTTTAAAAGAAAATTGCCTTTTCCACACAAAAACATCTAATAAAATAATTTGCAGCAACCTTAAACCCCGCTGACCGTGCCAACCCTGTTACTCAGTTAGTGGTGAACTAGTTTACAAACAATTTTCCTTCTGGACCACTGGTATGGTACCAGTGCTTTACAGGTACCCATCAGCAGACTGTCACCATCATCTGTGTTCAGGTAAGACTGAGAAAGGATTTTAACATTGATTATTCTTGCCAGATAGACATACTGTAAAGTAAACATGTGAGAGATGACCATCTAAATACCATAGCATAGCATTGATGATCATCTAGACAAAGTAATACAAAGAAATCAGTGGGGTTTCAGAAAAGGTTTCTCCACAAACTCTCTATGGCTATATATTACAGAGATGTGGAAAAGAATTTTGGATAAAGAGAATGTGGTTGGTACAGTTCTTATCAACTTTAGGAAAGCATTTGACTCAGTGGATCATTCAATTTTGAGTTATAAGATGGATGCTTGCAGTTAACATGGAAAATTGAAAGACTAGATTCAAAGTTACCTCGTTGATCGAAAACAATATGTTGTAGTAAATGGGAGAGGATCTGGCCTTCAAATAGTGCCCTATGGTGTCCCATGGGGATCCCTCTTGGGACCAAAGCTATTTTTGATCTTCGTAAATGAAGAAATTAGCAAATGGTGCAGTATAAACAGCCTCAAAATTCATCCAAGCAAATGCAAAGTCATGCTAATCTCAAGAGAGCTTCACTGGCCCATTGAAACCTGTCAAATGGGGAACAAATTTCTAGAGTATACAGATAAAGTAAAAGTACTTGGAATATATATTGACAACAAACTGCCTTGGAAACCACATATCAAAGAGCTAACTAAATCATTTAATGCACAACTTAAGTCTCTTAAAAGAATATCCTATCTGTCAACTAAAGAATTGGAAAGTATCTATTTCAAATTGATTATACCACACTTAAAGTACTGTATATCTGTATGGGGAAACTGTTCAACCTCTGCTTTTGAACCCATTGAAGCACTGCATGTAAAAGCTGTGAGATTAATCCACAGACTCCTTCTTCTTTAGAAGACCATGATGTAATAAAGAAGGTACATTGGCAGAACACTAGCAATATCTATAAAAGATACTTGCTTTAGAAATGTTTCAAATCATAAACTCTGATGGATGTCACAGATTATCTCATATGTTCAATTTAAGTAAACTCTGTTAAAAGGCAAACTAATCGAAATGAATACAACAACTTCAGAGTTTGGTAGACAGTCTTTATTCTTCAGAGGTCCAGTTACCTGGAATTATCTGAACAGAGACATAAGAAATACAGAAAATATGAAGTCTTTTAGATTAGCTCTAAAAGAGAAATCAGGATTGATGGAAACTATTAGTTACATAAAGGGACAATGCAACAATTTAAATAGGAGAACTGAAGAATTTATATACTATTGAAAGTGATAATTTTTTAAAATTTATTACTTATTTATTAGATTCATATTTAAATTTGATTATTTATCAATAATTATTTATTAGATGATCTATATTCTATACTTTATAGAAACTTTTAAAATGATACTATTAGGATCTGTTTTTTCAAATATTTTAGCATGTAGTTAGGAGGTCCACATCAGCAAAGGCTGCCCCTATCATGACCTTATTCAAATAAATTATGTATTATGTATGTTTTTAAACACCCAAAAGTACAGTCAGACAGTCCATAGAATATGTAGTAAAATAGATGGAAACTCTTGATTCCTAAATCATCACAAACATCGATCATGTCTTCCGATTCCCCCATCTTTTTTGCAGGAAGAGTGTTACCCAGTACCATGCGTTTGTTTTTACTTGTCCCAGTCCCCAAGATTAAATGAACGAGGGCAAACATTGAACAAATATGAGCTGATTGAATTGAATGAATGTATGTTGTTCCAACTGAATAAAATGTAGTGGAATAAATTGACTAGATATCAGTGACCAAACTGAAAAATATGTAAACTTTAAATTGAACAAATACTGAGGGATTGAATTGAATAAGTAGCAGTGTTCAGATTGAATGACTTTTAGTAGATTAAATTGAATAGAAGTAAGCAAATAGCAAAAAAAGGTATTAAATTGAATTACTTTATAAATATTGAATATTGGTACATTTGGCTTGGCATAAAAGATTTCCCAAATGAACTAGCCACAAACAAACCCAATATCAAGGGCTTGAAGTGAGGAGAAGCCCCTTTTTTGCCCAAAAAACTACATTGTTGCTATGGCTTGGAAAGATAAAAAGCAGTCCATTTCATCAACACCCAAAGTAATCCAATTGGAAACGAGACAGTGAACTGTAAAGAATGTGACGGAACAATAATTCAAGTGTGAAGTGAAAAGCCACAGGAGTATGGGAGGAGCTGATCTGCACAATCGGCTTCACGGTTATTAAGCCACTGGTAACATGTTTAGAAAGTGGTGGTGCTACCTTTTCTGGTTTTATTTGGATGTGAGAATTATGAACTCTTTCGTTTTGGAGAAAAAAGCAATTAACCATTTTTCCAGAACACAGCTGGCATTTCGCGTTGAACTCACCCAAAATCTTATTGGCGAATTCAGCCACCAAAGGAGAACAGCTAGTTTGGGACAATCCAAGGCTGGGCACTGGTCCATTGCTCTCAGTAAAGGGGGATGCAAACATTGTCTCAACCTAAGAAGACAATATTTAGCAGAATGGACTGCCAGCACTGCAACAAATGCATTTGTTTGGAGTACTTTCCAATCCACATCAGTGACCAATCATGAGTGCACAAGATTCAATCTAGTAGACCAAGAGATTTTCCATAGATTTCTTTCATGTTTAGGACTTCAGACATTGCTTGACTTTCTGTATATTTTGTCAAGAAAACCGAGCTTATTGAGCCTACTAAGCAATGAACAATGAAGAGACAATAGAGCAAACATTTTTAGACAAGTATTGTTGAATGACTGACATTAACATAACGTGGTAAGAATTTTTACAGTCACACAGGAGTTGAATGCGAACACTGTGTCTAAAAGAATCTCACAGTTTAGAGCCTTTTTAGGAATAGAATTGAGCCTTACTGTAACGGAAGAATCAGGCCAATTAAAATTATTACATGGTCCTTCAAGCCAGATTTGACACAAAAGAAGAAATCACGCCAAGGGCATCATGTCTACACCCAGAAACTTACGGGCAAGGCAAAAGAGATTATCAAGGAGTTCAACCCTTCTCAAGAGAACAAGTTGAAACATTTGAAGATATCCCTTAAAGATTGACTGGAAACGATTTGTGCTTTAGATGCCAAAATCTTGGACGCACTTAAAGGCAAGAAAGGAATTGAAGAAGAAATTGAAGAGGCCAGAGATTTTAGCAAACAAGTGCTGGAGAACGTAGTTGAAATAGAGTGTTGTCTCAGAAAGATAAAGAAGAAAGTGGAAGTGGTTCAGCATTGCCAAAACCCAACAGCAACAAATGCAACCAGCGTAAACAAATACACGAAACTACCTTGACTCACACTGAAGAGTTTCCTTGGTGATCCAGGCCAGTGGTTAACATTTTGGGATAGCTTTTGGGGCGCTGTTCACGAGAACCCAGAATTGCACAAAATCAACAAATTCAACTATTTAAGAGTCTTCTAAGTGGGTCTGCAGTCGCAACAATCACTGGTCTACCTCTAATGAGCAAAATCTACACCATGGCAATTGAGCTCCTGACAAAGTGATTCGGAAACAAACAAGTATCATCAGTAGCCATTTGGACAGCCCTCTAAAGCTGATGCCTTTAGGAAACACACCTGATGTTCCAAAGCTATGAGGAACCTACGACAAGATAGAAGCCCAAGTAAGAGGCCTATAAGCATTAGACGTGCTTAAAGAAATCTACAGAAGTCTTTTGGTGCCTGTGCTTATGACCAAAGTTCCCAAAGATATCCGCCTTTTAGTGGGCCGTAAAAGTGAAGATAGCAAATGGAACCTCTCCTAAATGTTGCAACTTCTACAAAACGAAGTGGAAAATAGAGAAAGATGCAAAGGAGTAAATGCTCTTGCCCAAAAAGAGGAAACATAGAGTCCAGAAGATTGAAGGAATAATTGGAAACTGGAACTGCCTAAGTTGACTGGAGCAATTGACTGCAAACAGTCCAGCAATGCAACAAAACTATTCAGAGGAACTGCTCTCAGCCTAAAGTTTATCAGAGATTTAAAGGCAGCAAGAACCCAGAGAAGAGAGCCGCTAAACACAAAACCAACCTTGACGGTAGAAGAGATCAGTGAAGCAAGGAGCCAATGGATTCGTAAACTACAGGAGCCTATGAAGCACGAAAAGAATTTTGAGAATCTAAAGCAACAACTTGGTTTGCTCAGGAAAGAAGGTAACATTCTGAAGTGCAAAGGCAGACTGGGGAATGCTCCACGGGACATCACAGCGAGTTACCCTATTCAGTCACCAAGACGACATCATGTGACAAGACAGATCATGGAAGCCATTTGAAGAAAACGCTTCATCAGTGTGTTATCTGCAAGAAACTAGAACGATTGCCTTACAAGGCCCCCAAAAAAGCTGATCTATCCAAAACAAGGGTCACCAATATATCCCTGCATTCACACACGTGGGAGTTGATTTTGCCAACCCATTATTTACAAAGACCACCAGAGGCACAGCCAAAACTTACATCGGCCTGTTTACATGTGCTACATTCAGAGTAATACACCTTGAACTTCTCCCAGACTAGGTCACCCGGCTGAATGAACAATCCATTGATCGTTTTCAACATCAATGGATAATGGACGATGATCTAACTTACTCCAGTAATACAGGTGTGAACTGGTTGATATACCAGGAGGGACAGGGAATGTTTTGTTTGTTGTGCAGAAGACATAGCACATCAGATAACCAAAACAAGAGCAAGTATAACCTCGAGCCAGCAATTAGATTTAAATGGAAAGCATTCGAAGAGCATGCCAATTCACAACAACATGCAGCAGCCATTACAGCAAAACTTCTCAGCAGAGTGTCAACTTTTGAAGAAGTGAGAAAAATTGAAGATGCTAAAGATGACGTTTACTACAAAACGTTGCTTACTATGAAATGGATTTCCAAAGAGGAAATCTCCAACAAGAAGTTCACAAGTCTTCTGGAACTTCTTCAGCAGGTAAGTCTTGAAGATATCAAGTATTTCAAACACCGTTCAGCTGGTTCAGTCAGGGAGATGTTTCTCCTCATTGGTAGCATTTTGAAAGCACAGTTGGTACATGATATATCAAAAGCCAAATGCTTTGACTTCTGACAGATGAAGTTTTTGATGTGTCTAACAAAGAGCAGCTTGTCACAGCAGTGGCTCACCAAACCCCGACAACACTTGGCAAAAATTCCCACCAGAGATAAACTGCCAGTGCAGGTTACAACTACTGCAGATGCCTCTGTACAAGTGGACACAGAGAGACTGGATGTTATGAGAGCGTGGGAGGCGGCTGCTGCTTTAGTGAAGAACACTGACAATATCATAGACCAAGAAGTTGAGCAGGCAGTAGCCTATTTAAAGCTTCCACCCATAGATGCCACTTCTGAAGCAGAGGAAAGCAGCAAGTCTCAAAGACAGCGATGATGAATAGATTGTTTTAAAAACTCCTGCAGTTCATACGTAATCTACTGAGAGCTTTTGAAGCTTAGTGCTAACTAATTTGTCTTCAAGGGATTTAGCTGTTCAACACAATATTGGACGCGGCTCCTTCAACCCTTCTTTCCAAAACTTTGGTTCTTTATTGGGGACAATTTCACCCGCTTGTTCTTATGGCAAGTTAGTGTTGAGTGATGTTGCATTACAAAAGAATTTATATTCTCACCTGCAGTTTGTTTTTCTGTTTGATGCTTTTTCTCTTGGAGAACAACATGCCAAAAACATACAGTGGAAATGTTCAATTTTGTTATATCAGAATCACTACATGTTATGTATGTTATAAAGTACAAAATATTTTGCTCATATTTCATTTATAAAGCCCATTCTGGATGAAGCAGTGCTGAGTTCAACGGCATTGTACAGTAACTTGGCAAGCTAAACAGTTTTTTAGCAGATATTTGTCTCCAGGGTTGCACTTCTCAGTAATTCTGATAATGGCAGGACCCGCTGCTACTAATAATAAAAATGTAGATTCTGTTTAAATGACTATAATGACTATAGTGTTTTATTGCCTAATTTACATGGGCATTTGAGGGGAAAACACCTGTTGGAAAACGCTGGAAATGCCATTTCCGAGTGTCTGGATTTCAAAATTTTATGGGGGAGCATGCCCCCAGACCCCCTAGAGGCTCACACCTTCGGTGCTTGTTTCCCCAGCTGCCTACATCTTTTCCCCAGCCTGCTACTTCAAAACTTACTGAAAGCACTGCAAAGGCTAACTTTAAAAAGTAGCAAATAAATAAGACATGCCTCATGTTGAACACTTCAAGGTGATTATTGTAGTTTTGGGGATCATTGTTCTGATGAGAGAAATTTTAGTGGTTAGAGACACTACTGATCTAGACAGCAGAAATGAGAAGTTCCAGGATCACTAGATATGAATGTCATTGGACAGATCTGAAGACAGTCACAAGGTACTTGAGACAGAGTGCTCCACAAGACACAACAGTAGAAGAAGAAGTAGAAGTCTCCATAATCTCTTTGGACAAAGCTGTGGTTACCCTGAAGACAAATCTATCCAAAACAGAACTGCCAAAGACAGGCAAATGCCTTTTAGAGCTCACAGACATAAAATGTATCCCTGAAGAGAAAGAGAAGTTATAGCATATACTCTCATTCAGGATATTGGTAATCTAAACGACAAAGATTCCAACCCTTGAGGATATTACAGTCAGGCAGCCCTTCAGAAAAGTTCCTCCAATGCAATATCAATAAACCTTACTATACATTGGCCAACCTTGAATCAAACCCCCAGAAAACAAACTAATATAGATGTCAACTCAGCAGTTGTCTCGTTACCACTACCTGGATAATGTAATTGTTCAACCTAGATTGCAGGAATCCCCTAACAATGTGTCAGCATTTCCAAGTACCTCTGTTCCCATCTTAACCACGACTAGACTGCTGTTTTCAACTATGTTGTTTCTCTTTTAGTTTCATATCCAGGACATGGAATCCTATTCAAAAGAAGAACCTTGAAATAAGATTGGATAATCATTTGTGCCCAGCCTTCATTTTTCGGTCCTGCAATCTTGCTTGTTTTCTACTCGTCAGTGGCATCGAGAGATGCAGATAATACCTTAGAAATGCCTACAGAGTGGCTGTATCGCCTGCTTCGTCTTGAGTGTTTGTGCTTTAGAGTACACACACCACCCTAGAAATTAAGATTTACCAGTTGTACTCAAGTACAAATCCTACTCATAAAAAATACTTATCAAGATCATCTTTCCAATAAAGCTCTTGAGAGATCTTAAAAACACTCTGCACCATTGTCTTTTTAGCAGAGAGGTTAGGTTGAGCACTTCCTACAAAAAAAAAAGCTCAAGCTGCTACAACATGGTAACCTAGCTCCCTAATACATAAGCCAGTTTTTATTATTAATGTACTGTAGTAGACTTAGTTTTCTTTAATGCTTATTCTTACTTTCCTTTTTTTTTAAAATGACTTTTTCCCAAATGGATAAAGCTTTGCACCCATATTTCACTTTTATAATCAACCTTTGTTCATTGCCATTTTTCTTGAAATTGGTTAGTGCTACACAACAAGTGTAGATTGAATGGATAGATTTTCGTCAACTTAGTTATTATATGTTGCAAAAGCAAGAGATGCTTATTTTTGTGATTTAATTTGTGCTTTGAGGTGCCAAACTTGTGCAAAGGTGAATAGGCAAAACCAAAGGTAAAACTTAGGTTTTTAACACGTTAACAAACTTTGGGGAGAGCAGAAAATGTTTTTTCATGCACTCACAGACACTTGAAAAATTGGTAAATGGATATCGTGCAATGATAATACTCAAACAATAGTTTGATCACACAAGTATTATATATATTGTTTTTGCTTCAATCAAGATTATAATGCCAGTTACAAAGCTGAGAGCAAACTAAGGAAGAGTCCAATTGTAGAAACCAGTCAGAATAAACTGTGCACAGTCCAATGAAAACAGAATCTAAACAGGTTCCATACTACAAGAAAGAAGTGGCTGGATTGAAGCAGAGAAGATCATATCTTGGGGAAAATAACCAAAGACGACTCAACCACATGATATAATGCATACATTATGCATCCCTTAGGAAGATGTATAATCAAACAGCAGGATGCTAGGGATATATTTTTGACCAATGTTTTCCAGGCAGCAGAATTTACCGTTATAACTGAAAACCACTTTTTCCACCATTCAAAGAGCCTTAGTTAAGTATGACCTTTATATACCACTGGAACTCATTTCTAGAATGAAAACTATTCCCTCACCCACAAATTCGAGGCAAAAAGTTACCAAGATAGTTGTATCTAACATTTTAGCTTGAGAGTCAAGAAAATGTTTATCTATAACTACTGTAAATTTCAAACAACTCCTTGTAGTTGGAAATAAATTGCTTGATTGGCAACCATTGCCATTAGCTTTTGATAGCAATGAGGATCTTCATAACTTTATAAGGGTAATTCTATTAATATTACTAATACAATAATGCATTGTCATGGTCTCCACACCTCAAGAAATGGACAGGGAAAAATTTCCTCAAAATCACAGAGTAGGAAAAATGGAACAACAAAGGTGTTATGGTTGAGACTTAAGATTACTGAATGAACTGAGGCGTTTTTATCAGAAGTTTATAATTTTTACTGTTGACAAAATGGTGGATTCAAACTTGAAAGCATTTTGTGCAAACAATGTGAACTTCTTTGACAACTCCCAGCAGATGACCTTCAAATTTCAATTATGATTTTTTAGTCTAAAATTCAATAGATTCATTATGTGCTGAAGGTGCTGTTGAGGCACTGAGTATACCCCTCATGGGTGGTGGCAATTTGGCTATCAGTTAGACAATCGTGAGGCAAATAAACAAAGCCAAAAATTACCTAAAGTCACCAGAAAGTCAAAGAAAAATATGACTGTATGTGGGCTGACTAGATGAACTTGAAGGTTACAAACACAGCATTCAAAACTACCCATAGGAAGAAAATACAACACCTTTTAGTACTTGAAAAGTCATAGGAACTCCTCAAGCTAATTGGAAACCACGCAAGAGGCCAATCTATACTCCATAGGGCTTGAAATCTTCATGCATCAAAAAGAGGTGGAAATGTTCCCTTTGCTCAAACTGGAGTCAGCCATAGGATGATGCCTGGTGCCTGTAACCCTGGAATTTCCAATGCCAGAGGATAACATCATGGTGCCTAATCACCATTTATTTTAATTTAAGCTGTTATGAACCTACAGAGGTTCTCTCAGGAACCTAAAACAAGGCTAATCTTAGCCTATAAAGAGTGGACAGAAATGCACTGTAATCTGAGTTTGCATCTGTACCATGGCAGATTTGCAGTATCTTTGATGACATTGATGATACTACCAAGGCTTGGAAAATGTATAAAGGCCCAGCTGTTTAGTATAACCATCTTTTTTCTACAACCATGGTAAAATAAACAACTTTGTTTCCCTGGTGAAAGAAAGAGCACTTTTTTCCTTGTTTTTGCCATCTTCACATTCTCAGGAGTTCTCTCATTTTCATAAATGGCAGACTAAACCATGAGGAATATATGTATGTGATTTTTTTAAGACACACATATGGTGATGGGGGCTCATGGGGTAGATTTCTAGCAAGCTACAATCAACCTGACAGCAGACCCTTCTAATAATGATTGTCCTCTGAAAGGACCAGTAAAAAGTCCAAAACCACTATCAAGAAACATCTGCTGGGAGTTAAGTTGATGATCCAGACTCCTTAATTAAACCCCTTGGACACTAAATTCCACCAGCAAGGAATTGTTAGTAGTCCCTAGGAATAATCTGGAGTCCTATGGAAAGTGTACTTTTTCAGTCACTGCCTCCTCACTCTGGAACGATTTACTAGACCAAATGAGAAGTGAGTAATCTTATGAGTAGAGTTAAGACCCTTTTATTTGGCTGTTCCTTTTAGCTTCTGATCATCTCAGATTTGTTACTATGTTAACAAATATTAAACTTACGATGTAATTTTCATGTTTTTAATACTTTGTTTAGCAATTTTGTTTAATTGGTAGAAATACCGATCATGATCATCATTATTATTATTATTATTGCTATTATTATTATCATCATCATTAGTATTATTATTATGCAAAACCTGGTACATCAAGAAGGTCATCTTGGTTGGCTTACAGGAAACAAAGAAACTACTGTACTAAATTGTTAAGATCAGCTGAAATTTCTTACTGGAGTAACAAACCCACTAATGCTAAATCCAGTAAAGAATTTTGGTGACTGGTCAAATCCTTCCAAGGTAACAACAAGTACTCTACCATCGGCCCTGTGAAATCCCCATCTAATTCACTTCTAACCAATAATCTTTCAAAGGCAAAGGAATTCAACTCCTATTTTGCCAATATATGTTCAACTCTGGCCAATAGTGACAACTCATCAGCACTGGATCTTTCCACTCAACCAGTAAACCACATTCACAGAATTACCCCTACTCTACAGTCATTTCCTGTCAATAAAGAGCTCCTATCCTACTGTTTCAAGAATTACATCAAAGTGGGAAAAGCCTGTGGCCCTGATAAAACCACTGGCAAAGAACTGCAAACGTTGGGTGATGTCTTCATTCATAACTTTCTTAATTTTGCCAAAAAGAGCTTTGATGATTGCATGTTTCCATCACAATGGAAGACAGCACAGGTTCACTATATTCATAAAAGGGAAGTACTTGAGACTGTGGAAATTACTGTCCTATTTCACTTCTGAGTATACCAGGTAAGTTACAGGAAAGTATTGCATGCTTTCATCTAGACTCTTTTCTGTACCATCATAAACTAATTTCTGACTCCCAATGGGGTTTCAGAAAGGGAAGATCCTCTGAGCTGCTGCTTCACAGAATGACAGAGTAATGGAGACTTGCTTTAGATGAAAGGAAATCAATTGGCATTACTTTTACAGACTTCCAAAAAGCCTTTGAACGTGTGTCTCATCAAATTTTACCTCAAAAACTCCAAGCTTCCGGTTTATGTGGCGACTCATTTGATTGGACTGTTAATTACCTAAATAATTGACAACAGTTTGTATCTGTCAATGGTACTAATTCTGAGAAAATAAGACTAACCTCTGGCATGCCCCAAGATTCCTTGTTGGGCCCAAGACCTTTAAGTATCTTTACATATGACCTGCCCTTGACCCTGGACTCAAAGTTAAAAATGTTTGCCGACGACTCCACTGCCTATATTATTGGAAATTCCACTGCCTCCATTTCAATCCAAATTCAAGAACTCTTGCATCAACTACTTACCTGGTCTAAACTCAACTCTATGTTCATCCATCCAGTCAGCCTGAAGTAATGTTCATCTCAAAAACACCATTTATTGGTCCAAACAGACTCATCTCTATAGATCATAAGCCCATCATTTGTGTCTCCCGTTCATCTTGCTTAGGAGTTAAACTTCATAACAAGCTCAACTGGGCTCCTCACATCAAAATGGTTACTTCAAACTTCAATGCAAAGATTTCAAAGCTTAAACAGATGAAGACCTTCAAACACTCTACTCCAGAATCTATTTACTTCAAAGGTATTTTGCCAAGTGTGACTTATTGTATATCCCAGTGGGGATCTTCCAACTTGCTGGCTGACCTCAAGGACTTGCACATCCATGCTGCCAGACTGATTAACAACATAAACATATCTACCCCAAAATATGAAGGACTCAGCATGGCAAAATGGACATCTCTTCATTTTATGTACAAGAGAAGACTTGCTTGTATTGCATGCCAGGCTTTCAACAACTTAGCTCCTGATGACATTAATAATTTATTTCCAAAGCACAGAACTCCATATAATTTAAGAGATAATGTATGATTGGAACTTGTCTCTCAAAATCCAAAGCCTTACATGATTCCTTCACTCATCATTCTAGTATTGTTTGGAATTGTTTACCTCGCCAGTTAAAGTCCAAGCCTAGTTAATCTTCATTCAAGGTTAACATTAAGAAATTCTAAGAGTGCATTGACCAAATTACTTTTGGCGCAACCTCTACTGCAACCAATAATAAAAGTAATGAGTTTATATATTATTAATGTTTAGTTTATTTGTCATTTTGATTAGTCTTCCTTTCACCTTTCATTTGCATTGTCTAAATTACATAATTTAATATGAATATTTATTTATAGTCATTTCAAGTTTATCTATTTATTTATGTATTATTAGTACTAATAACTATTAATAAAAATTTATTATAGTGTAAAGTAGATAGCAGGTCCACATCAGCAATAGCTGCCATCTAATCAACTTGCTTTACCAAATAAAGGATGTATGTGTGTATGTATGTAAGTATGAATCTGACATTAATCAACCAATCAGTGTATCTAGATCAAAACTAGTTAAATCTGACTCTTCATCAAGAAGCTTGTTTAAGAAAGAGATTTTAAAGGAAAAAGATGTAGACTAATAGATCTTGGAGCTGGTCACTATGTTGGATCCAAATAAAACTTCCAAGTGGTGAATAACTACTGTAAATATATGAAAATCATATGTGTCCACTGCAGTTGAAGAAAGGAATATAATGACGCTTGTACAGCTACAAATAGCAAGAACATCACCCACTCACCATGGCTGCCATAGCAGTAAAAGAAAACAGCATCCACCTGCCTTACTCAATAGCAATTCCAAGCTGGATGGAATATGTAAAAAAAATTTCCAAAATCATCTAATAAATGAAAGTGGCAAAATACGTAATTTGCATATAAACAAATTAAATATTCAAGTAAAACCTTAACAATGCCATCTTCTCAAAAGACCAAGTTTGCTCCATGTGTTCTATTGGCAAATGTCATATCTTTGGTCCCAAAGGTCAACAAAATTAGCATCCTAACAACCCAAAAGAACTTTGATTTGATCTTCTTTATGGAGACCTGGTTACAATAATCCATTGGAGACAATCACTTGACACTAAACAACAAGCTTCTTCAGCGTGATTGCTCCCCAGGTACACATGGAGGAGTTTGCATGTATATAAAAGAATCTATCTAGACCAAGAGACTACAAGAGCTTGAAGATCCTGCCTTCGAAGTCCCATGGTCCTACATTAAACTCCCAAGATTACCAAGAGGGATTAACTGCATCATCACTGCATGTTTTTACCACCCACCTAGTTGTAATGACACTGAAATCTTAGAGTACTTGTCTGATGCTATCACACGTGCTGAAGGTCTACTTCCTGGTTGCAGTATTATTATCCCTGGCAACCTAAATCAATTGGACACAAAACATCTTTGTCGAGATTTCCACCTAAAACAACATGTCCACCAATCTATACGCAGTGCTTACATTCTGGATCTAGTGCTCACCAACATGCATAATTTCTATGATTCAAAACCAGCCATACTTTCACCACCCTTTGGCCTATCTGACCATAATGCTGTTGCAGTTTGGTCTAGACATTACACAGAACATTCTGTCAACCCCAAGTCCATCAGATAGAAATAAATGTAACTGTTTACATCATGAAAAAGAATGTTATCACCATCTTACTCCACTCCATCCAAGCTGAAGATTCAGCAAAGCAACTCACTTTTTGTTTTCCTAACAAGAACTCCTGGTGTAGGATGGCAACAAGATCTTGTTACAGGAATGTTGACCTAGAAAGGGAATGACTGTCTGCCAAAGGTTTTTCTGGAATTCTTGCACTCCACCTTCATACATCAAGTGAAACAAAGCTCTAGGAATGGCGTGCACATGGTGTTACACAGAACTGAAACGAGTGCATCAATATTCTGGTTTGGGTTCAGTGCCCAAAGTATAGACATCATGATGTGAAAGTAATTCACTGTGCTGTCAATAGCTTTTGCAGTATTACACTTTTATTATAGAGCTGCTAGCTGCTAAAAAATCACAGACCACCATACATGTATTTTTTCTCAAACATGTAATTTTTCACTAGTTTGTACACTTGTAGATTTTAAAGCATGTTGTAATATAATACATTTTTATTGGTAAATTATTCTATGCTTTCTTGATAATTATGTTAATTAGCTTTTATCCTCATTAATTGTAAATTAACTCAGATTAGATATGAAGGAGAGGGAATAAACCACTGTAATTTTACTCATGGATACTGGAAAGAGACAAAGGCAAAAAACTTTCAAGTTAACCAACAAGCAAAGCATATCTAATTCAGACCAAGCATGGAGATGAGAAATTAACGCACAGAAGATATCACTTGTGGAAACTGCCAAGTACAACAAATCCAAGTCAGGCTTACAAATTTATGAATATCTTTGCCTGGTCCTCCCTTTTATTCTCTAAATTCCCCTTTGGAAGAGACTTCATGCATCTGCTTTAAATGCCAAGTTTAATAGTATCACTAAAGCACTAACCAAAGTGCAGGACAAGGAAAAATCAAACTTTCCAAAGACAGCTCACCAGAATTGAAAAATAAAGATTTTTTTCATACCATCTACATATATGTGTTGATCAAAGCAAATTCCTAATCTTGACTTGTCATAAACAAGAACACACTGTTTTTACATTTGAAATGAGCATAAATATCAATTTTACATAAAATAAGTCTTAAGTATATTAGATACTTATTAGCACAGATTTTATAATTCAAATTTTATTTTGAAAAGTCTAAGGACTATGCATAATGTTAAATTTTTTATAAAAATTTAATGTAAATATTATGCAATTGAGCTTACTAGCTGCAATGTAATACTGTGCACATATTGTGTGCCTACACTGTAATAACTCCATTCACATGAAAAGGGTGTTAAAAAAACTTGCACACACATACAATTTTGTCAAACACATAAAAAAAAATGAGCATGGAAGAAGCTCATTAATATGTATGAAGCAGCCTATTGTTTTCAGCCTTTGTAACTCTGAATGGTGTGTTAGATTTATAAAAAAGAAGGGTGACATTACATGGTTCAGTACCAAAGTGTTTGGTGTCATTTTTGAAATGGCTTGTCTGCATTATGAAGAAAAAGGAAAAAAGTTTTTGACCTGCTTGGTACCACTTTAGAAAGCAAACAAGATCAGGAAATACCAATTTCAATAATTTAAAGTTGTTGTCATAAAAGTTTACGGCTAGCATCTAACAGCAAAACTTGAATTGTTTGCATTCAGTTATCCATATTACATGAAATTATTTGCAGTTTGCTGGAACAGGAGACATAATTATGTTTTACCATGATGACTTTAGGTTCATAGAATAAGTGAAGAAAATGAGATTCCATTCTACCCTTTGCAGTTCATGCCTTTAATTATTAATTTATTTACTTATTTATTTGTTCATGTGTAAGCAAGACTGCTGCTATTGTTTATGATTTGATTTGTTCTTTTTACTTGAATCTTAAGTGTGAATGTAAAAGAATGACTAGGTGAAACCATTTTTCTCTTATCTGAAATGTTGAGCTATTCATTACCAACAAAATTGAACATAATGCCGCTCACTGTCAATACAACACGGTACCCAACTCTAGCAAAAGTAAATAAGAATGAGCATCTGTTAAAATTGTCATGAAGATCATCATCACATAATGCTAAGCATGAATAAAAAGTACAAACAAAGCAAAACCACTCTTGTGAAAGCAATATTTCCTGAAATGTGGCAAGTAATGTTTGTTTTCAGCTTCACTATTTAACATCATTCATAGTGAATCTGTTTGGTGCTGATGGAAGACTCATGAAGACTTACCAAAAGCATATTTGTAACTTAGGAGTGAAAATTTCTGTTGCAACTGAACATTGACATTTTGTTTAGTTTTTATGATTTATTATCTTGTTTGTATGCATTGCATGCCATTGCTTCAACAACCTTGAGGTTGAGAAATGTAAAAATAAATGGTTGAGTTCTGGAAAACAATCCTTATATTTGTAGTTGAAGTGCTTTACCTTGCTCACCATTTCACAATGAAAAAATAGTGCGAGAAAATTCAGATATTAAATGAACCAATGTTCAATTGCTTGATTCAATTGTAAACAAATATCTCACAGTTTTAACTTCCTCGGTGACTTTTTGTGAAAGATTAAAGTTACTTAATACTGTTTATAGGCTGTGTGTTAACCCATTTAATATGACACATTTGCTACTACAAATTCGATTCAAACAATATTTTTGTTAGCAACCAAAGTGATTCCTGAGAGAGAAAAGAAAAAATTAATAAGTTATGAATTGGCTTGATTTCCTTTAAAATACTTTGCTTGGAAATATTGCCCAGTGGGCAAAACAAAACATATTTATGAAAAATGGCAATGGAGCTTGGAATGTTCTCATTGCCTCATGAAAGCTTACTGCGCCATGGGCAAAGAAAATCTGTACCACACTTAAAGCCACTCAGATTGGAGGATTTGCTACCATGCCTTGAGAGAATACTCCACTGGAAGTTAAAGAGCTTGAAAGCCTTAAAAGTGACGTTGACAACAATCACCAATATTGCTAGTTGCATGTTCATATACATCAAATCACTGACCAGGTGAACACCTTGAGGTAGTCTCTGTCTGAACATGATTGTGAGAAAATTTTCTTGCTTCAGCTTCTTTCAACTTTATAAGTTGAAAAAGGAGCATGTCTTGTCCACTGTGGAGCATCCCGTGCAGACACTGCTTTGGGACTTGCAGTAGACACAACTTTTTCGCAGCCTCTCCTTCATTTGAAGTAGGAGAAGTCTATCAGGCCTGGGAAACAGTCCATTCCAATTCTGTAAAGGGTGACCACAACAGCTTAAAAGTACACACTACTAAGACGCTTACACTGTAGGTTAGCTTAAAAGAGGTGATCACTCATTAAAGGTTAAAATAACAGTAAGAGAAAAAAATTGCAGGACTTATCCATCTTTCCAGTAAGAGATGATGACAATTATGCGAATTTAAATGAGGACAATACAGATAACTTTCAAGAGATGTTTGTTTGTTCCTCAGATGAAGGACTATATTTGAAACACTTCTGAGAGTCAGTGAGCTAAATTCACCTGTTGTTCAAACATTGGAACTTGCAAAAAGAGGATAGCTGTAAGAAGAAGGGCTGTATATTCATGCATAATTTGCATTTCATATATGGTGAACATGTCCATCAGGGCTATCTGTTCTATAACTTTTTACAGTCTCTTATTACTTTTAAGTTTGAACTTATCATATATATCTACGACACAAAGACACAGGATTGTCCATGGAGGGTATTATTGGACAAGCGGAGTTTATTACACGAATTTACAGCCATTGTTGATTTGGATCAGTGTTCAGGCACGTCGGGACTTTACTTGTCTTTCAATCCTAACAGTCCTATGGATCAAATGAAGGCATTGGAAGCCATGGAGCCATTTACTAGTAACTTACACAAATGGATGTACAGGGACAAATTAAAGATCAATGATGACAAGACTCAATTTCTTGTAATCAGATTGAGACAACAGTTGCTGAAAATTGATCACTGTTCAGTCCATGTTGGCATGATGGATATTAAGCCAGTTTAAGCAGTGCATAATCTCGGTGCCTTGTTCGACTCACATTTTTCTATGTCGACCCATATTTCTAAGTCTCGTAGTGTGACATTTTTCTGGTTATATACCATATTTACCCATATATGTGCCCATGTACAATAAGCACCCCAATTTTTGACCAAATTTTCATTAAAAAAAGTTTTCATAGCAAAAAACACATTAATTCTTCCTACAATATTTATTGAGATAATAATACTTACATTACAAAAACTTCAAAATTACTTAAATATGTACCAGTAACTAACTAATTACAAAAGGTTGAAGACGATAACAAACAGCCTTGCAAAAAAACCTTCGAAATTGGACTTTGAGTCTGACTAAAAAAGAATTAAGTTTAAAATTTTATTACTTACTTTTAAAGCCCTCTATGGTATGGCACCTAGTTACATTATTGATTTTATTAACATTAAGACAAATATGCGCTATTTGCTGCACACAAATGAAGGTGTTTGTTTAAAGCATCCCTCAAGAAAAATGAAAAAGTCATTTGGTGACAGATCTTTTAGTGTGGCTGCACCCACCTTATGGAATGCTCTTTTTGCTAATCTTCACAGCATCAAATGCATATCAACTTTTAAGTCATGTCTTAAAACTTATCTTTTTCAATTAGCTTTTAATAGTTCTTAGATCTGTAAATATATATATGTGATTTATTATCTCTGGAATTTATTGTGTATGTCTAACAATAGTATAGTTTAGGTAACTTATTGTTGCAATGCACTTTTGATCACCTGGCATGTTAAAAAGCACACTAGACATTTTACAAATTATTATAAATAAATAAATTATTAACGCTTCAAATACCGTCTTCTCTTACAAGCAAAAGTGAAAATAAGCTTGATCCTTGCTCTTCAGAAAGAAGCTTTGATAAAGCCATGACATCTGCTCTAAACCCTGAGCAATCACTGTTAGACCTTATGAAGGCCAATTTAGCCAAAATTATTTAGTTGAAAAGAGCATTGTTATCTAGTGCAGAAGAGAAACTATGCAAAGCTACTCACACAAATGATGCCCTCGAGCCTCTCTCCTCTAAACAGTCCAGGCTCTGTTAAAATTGTCACAAGTCTGGACATACAAGACCAAAATGTTCTTCCTCTTCTTCCTTCCCATGATGCTTGTGGTTTAAGAAACAGGCACCTGGAGCTGAAACAAAAGACACAGGAGCAGCAAATATGAACCCAATCATAAAAAGAACAGTGTGATGCAGAATCAAAGCTGAAAGTGTTTTGCAGATCCCTCTCAAAGGTGTCCACTTGGTATTTTTGCAATGATGTCTCCCAGACTAAAAGTCTGCAATTTAATCAAGTAAAGTGACTGCATTTCCATTAAATGGAAAGGTTCCTGGATTTGATGCCAGCAAGGACTAGCAATTGCCAATTCTGATCGAACAGTACCAAAAAGAAACGTTGATACTTATTTGAATAGCAGTGTAGATCACTGCTCTTCATTGTGTTTGTAACAAAAGAGCATACTCAACTGCAATGGCATGACTGTCAACCACTGTGTGTATGTTGTATTTCAAATTTGGTCATGCCGTATTATGCAGTGTCTTCTAATGAATTTGTACATTTCACATGCTGTTCAATACTGGCATTCAACATTTTGTTATGTAATTTCACAAACATTCTTGAATGGTCTTCTTGAAAACAGATTTTATTTCTCAGTTTAATCCCAACAACATGGATTAATATTTTCTCCAAATATTTTAATTCATGCACCCCTTTCCATATTTTCTCACAGCTTGAGTTAAAACAGAAACCACATGGTCTTGCAACAAACAAGTTCATGATTTGCATATTGAATCAAAAAGCCAATAAGTGAAGTAAATTCTTGTTTTACAACGATTGCTATCCCTCCTTCCCTGTCTTTTTATTTCTACTTATTGTTTAGTTTTACACTAGATAGCCACACTTCTTGTGATATGTACTCTGCTAAGTTTTCTGCCGTGATACTGCAAATCACCTCGCCAATTTCTACTTCCATTTCATTTATTGCTAACAACTGGTGCTGTTAAAGAAATTGTTGATCTGATTAAAAACAGTACATACATGTATTTAGATGTGGTGAGTATGGTGGTTGGTAGATCAACTCAATTCTACATCTTTTGAGCATATCTCGCAACAATGGCTCAATGTGACAGGCTGGGTGAAATTCAAAATTATCAATCACCACATCCATCAGTTTCTCCCCACTACAGTGTTGTGTCCCATTAGGGAAGCACTTCCATTTGCCCGTTCTTCCTGTGAGGCATCACCAACAAAATTAAATGATCTAACCCAGTTGATCAACATTGAAGGATATTGAAGTAATCAACCCCAACAATTTGTGATTTCCCTGTTGTTTTGATGACACTTGATTCATCAAAGAAATGAAACTTGCTGGCTGGATATCTCAATACCTTTTGAAGATATTCACTTTGCCTATCTAATGCACCTGGCTTTCCTGCTTCAAGTGGTTGATCAGTTTCTTTCTGAAATCTACTCTAAGTCATCAATATTGTAGCAAATCATTATATATAATTTTCAATTTATATAAACTTCAATGTAGGTAAGAACATCTGTGTCAGTTTTAGGCTCAGCAAAATAAGCTTGTGGTATACAAATTGACAAATTTGCTACATTGAAACTTCTTACAACTCTTCTTACAAATGTATGGTTGGTCTTAACCTCTCTTGTAATAGTAAGCCTTGGTGGTTCAAATCCAATTACCATTCATGCTCAAGAGAAGGTTTTGCTCTCCCATTATAACATATAATATACTATAATACCCAGACAAGTTTTGATGCTACTCTGGTTTAAAAACTAAGTGAATGTAACCGAAGAAGTTACAATTCATAGACCCATCATAGCCTTCATCAGGGGTGATCTAAACACAGCAACAAGAGGTCCTTTTATACAATCACTAATTTGCTGCCTTTTTTCTGATGAGGTGTACATAGGCATCAGGAAGTAAGCCGCCATCGTCATGATTCAAAGGAGCGTGGGCGGAGTTAAAATGCGAAGCTTCCAAACAAAGGTGCTGCATGGTGGTAATGCCAAAATGTTGGATCTATGAATTGTAACTTCTTAGGTTACATTCATCAAATCTTTAATCCAGAGTAGCATCAAACCATGTCTGATTGTCCACCTGGTTGCCATGTGAACTTTAATATATACAAGCCACTGTTTGTGTTTTCATGCCACTGTATGTTTAATGCAGATATATAACATATTTTTACCATTCAGAATTTAAATACCTAAAATGTAATGGCTTCACATGGATTACATGTAATTGATTCTTTTTCATTTCTGGCTGCAATGAACAACTCAGAATTCTTCCTACTTTATTTAAAACAAGGTGTCTAGTTTGCATGCAGTGATTTCAAATGGTCTTACTTTGCACTTCAAGTGTCAAAAAAGTGTCAAATTTGTCAAAAAATTTTGGTTTTCTGGAAACAGTAAAAGCACTTTGCACTGTTACAATTTACAGGAAAAAAACATCACAGAAAGTTAAGACAGACACAAAATTTTGACAATGTGCCCAATATTTGTAATTTGCATTAGTTACAACTTTGCACTTGTGTGCAAACTTGAACTTGTTTTTAGCCAATCAAAAGAATGTACTTTTTTCATGTACTGTACTAGTAAAACTAGTATGAGATCACTTTGACCTGAAATGAATTTCAAAGTGTACCACTGGTGTGATTCACTTGGAAGCTGAAGTGCTATAATGAGGCAATAGAAAATCTTTCTGTACATACCCTCATCTTAGCTCAAAGGGAGTTGAGAGAAAGTGCAAAAGTAATGCAAACCAGAGAGACAGTCAGGGATTTGTATTACTTTCAAGAATCCTCCCAGCCCCCCTAGTGCTTGGATGAGAATATATGAATGTGGAAAAAGTTCTTTATTGCTTTTGTAAACATTTATCTCCAAAACATGACCATTGAAGGAAAATGTTTTCAAACTTGTTAATTTACTTCTTGACTGATATAGATTTTCTCAATACATGCTTTTGATGACAGCACTTCCTGTGAGCAAATCAAATTGTGCATATGACCAGACATAAATTAATAAAAATTCAGGATATAAAAAATCATAGCTAGGTTGAAATTTGTGGCTAGTGCCAGCACTGTGTGAACAAAACAATTCCAGCTTTCTATCCTTGTAAATTTAACAGAAAAATGCCAAAATGCTTGAAATGTAAGATCCCTAGAGAAGAGAACTTCAAGAGGAGTTTAAATTAAAAATTAATGCCACTATGGTTGATTTTTGTGCATCCTTTTCTGTCTTTGCATGAGCTCCCCAACACTCACTTAGGAGGTCCTCATTGACATATAGTAGTTTGGATTTTATAGATTCTCTCAATTTCTGTAAATTTGTGGAAAAATTTGAGATTGCTGGTCACATAGTTGATTCAGAACAAGGACCATCAGTGGACCTTACCTAGTCTCAAAAGTGTCAACATTCTGAGAAAGCATTAACCAAGTGTTTCACATGAAATTTATAAATCCTTCTGAGAGTATAATAGTTTGGATGGTAAAAGATCTCTCAATTTGTCAAATTTTCAGAAAAATATCGGACTGCTGGTCATTTAGTCATTTCAAAACTTTGACCAGCTCCTACATAACCAGAGTGAACAGTGAATGCATATTCGACAAAATATAGCTTCATTCTAACCTCAATCATTATAAATGTTCTTTTTGAGATACAATTGTTTCCCTTTTGTGCCCATTTTAACTAATTTTTGTGACCTTTAAAGGTTGTGAGATCAAAAGTTTGTTTTTCTAGCTGAGGTGTTTATAATCTCAATTACAAACTCCATTTCTTTAGATGCTGATTTCCATATTACCACAATCTTTGAATGCTGATTTATCTGTGAATAGAAAAATTTCAGCCAGAGAAGAAGCAGTTTCACCTATTAGATGTCACCTGAAACACATACTTTCGCAGCCATTTTGAATTCTTGTTTACCATTTCAAAATCATGTGACCACATACATGTAGCTTAAAGGTCTATTTACATAAAAAAACTCATAATTCAATGTCTAATTGTTAAAAGGCTATTGAATAACTTCTTTGAAACCTATTGCACTTTAGTACACTTCTGCAACCATTGAGATCCACTCAGCATACCTTCAAAGTAGACCTATGGTGCAGAATTACTGTTGATATGCAATTTCATCTCACACTAGATACACATATGCACTGCGAACCTACTTTTCTTGTAAAAGGCAATATCAGCAACCATGATTTCTACTCACCAACATGAACCTGTTCAAATGATGATGAAAAAAAAGTTGCAGTGTATGGCCTTACACCAAAACTGTCACGTTTCATAATGCAGATGGCGACTCGTGCAGAGCCAGTGATAACTATTAAGATCATGACAACATGTTCCTTGTCCATCTTTAAGGATGTTGTAGGCTCAAAGTGAGCTCTATACCTTTCAACTCCTCAACCTACACTCATAATACACTTGTGTTCCCTTTGGAAAGACTTCTCACCTCCAATTCAAAATTCCCTAAATCCTGGGCACGGACAACAGATGCACATGCGTGTGAGTGCTAATGTTAAAACAGCTCATAAGCTCTTATGTTATGGCAAGAATTAGAATATTTGTGGAGATAAAAATTTAGGTTTATGAAATATA